TTCTCCATATCCATTTTTCCCAGCTGGTCTTTTTTCTCTTCTTTTATGGGCACATTTACTGACTAGTTGTTGATGGCTCTATAAGGAGAAGATTTTTCGCATCAGAAAGCTGTAAGGAAAACAGATCTCATATTGACATGCTTCATGCAAGGGGCCCTATGGGTAGATCAACTCCTGCAAATTGCACTAAAGGAGAACCCACTGTTACTGACTGGGAAAATTTGCCATGCCATGCATGGAGCAAAATAAACACCATGCAAAGTAATTCAATATGGTCAATTTCTTTGCCACAAGGCTATATGCTGGACTATACCATTTAGATGTGGGGGTGGCAACTGAGGGGTCAAGTGTGGATAAAATCATGCAGAAATAATAGTAGTGCATATCAAAAAAATATCCATTCTAGCAGAGCTAACATGTACTGTAAAATCTGTATTAGAAGCCGCGGCTTCTATTAAAATGGTACAATGCAACAGAGGGGATGCGGCTTCTATTAGAGCATCTACACATATGAAAAATGATGAATTTTTAGTTCTCAATTATTCAAATAGTATGGATGCGACTTCTATTAGGGATGCGGCTTCTAATACAGATTTTACGGTAGCTATCAATTTTACATACTGCCCCAGTATAGATATTTTATAGTGTGGGTGAACCAATGATACCATACAGTGTACTTGTTACTGGCATAGTTGAACTTGCATGCACTCACTGTATGCTCAGTGGTCTGAAACGGTTGCCACATGCATCCAATATGTTATATTTAGTAGTTAGCTTTAACTGATCAGTACTTACCAGTTCTCAGCATGGTCTGTGTACGGGTTTCTGGCAGTATAAACTAGACACAATTCAACTGGAGAGCTGACAAAAACACGTCCTCTTTTATCCGCATGAATGTTCCAAGTAAACAGGATCAGTGAAAACATTCCTTTGAGTCACTGTATGCTAATAAGGTTGAGTGCATGATACAAGATGTCCTTGACCCAGGGGTGGTATCACATTCAATGGTTCAAAACTGCATATTTAATCCACTTGGGAAACCTGTCAGTAATCATTCATCTACTGACATCTACATAATGGGAAACCGGAACCGGATTTCAGTGATTTGCAAATAGAAAACAGACATTGTAGTTAGACATTAGCTTTAAAACCTTTTGTGAACTTGAGTAAGTTAATAGTGCAAGGTTCTAAGATATTAAACTGGGTTGTTGTTACTACAAGACTTCCAGGTTTAATTCTATTTTAAAAGTGACATTTACATATGTATACTATGAATTTTATTGACACAACACTGATTTAGGAAAGTACAGCAGTAAGGTCACTAAAACTACAGTACAGATAAAAAAAAAATAACGAGTACATCAAAATCCCACCAAAAAATTAAAAAAAACACACAACAATAAAAAATTAACTAAAAAAAAATAACTAGGAATCATGATTATAAGAAGAAAACAAAATGACATCACAATTAAAAAAAAAACACTAGTAAAATTGTGTAGGTAACTAATAACTACAAAAAAAGTGATAATGAAGTTAAAATGAACAAGTTATTTATGTTTTACTTGACACACATATGTGTTTCTATGCAATTTTAATCTCACTTATATTGGCTTGTCCAATCCTGTTAATTTTGAGACAGGGCTAGATACAAAGTGTAGTCTTATAGATCGGGACAACTGAAAAGTAATTTGCTTGCCTTACCCAGCTGGGATAGTATATATATAGGCAACATACATTTTGAATAAATGAGTTAACAAGTCAAGGTCGTGCCCTTTGAAAGTCTGGTAGTTGAATTAATTTTGTCTCGTTTATATTTTTAGCATCTCAAACACCAACTTGTATGAAATGTTTTTCGCTTTGTTTTGTATATTGCATTATGGGTAAAGGTCAACAGTTGAATGAAACAAAAAACTTTGAAGCTGTTGTTCATGTTGTATTTTATTGGTCGGCACAGAGTGGAAGATAAATGTCAACCCTGGCATATGATACGTCACTGATGTGCTAAACCTGTATGGTATTTGAGATATTGTGAATAGACTTCAGATACAAATAACCAATGAAATGTCGTTGAGTGCAAGGGAGTCGCAAGACTTGTTTTTGACCTACCAATACATGTAATGTTCTGTTCTCCCTTGTCAGCTAGTCCAACAGTTCCACTGCTGTATGTGACCATACTTTATAGAACAGCTCCATGATATGAGACGAGTAAACAGTTTTTAGAGGCAAAAAACCCCCCCAAAAAAATCTTGTGGCTCTGTTACGAAATCTCAGAAACCATTTACATATCTAGGATATCTGCACATACCCTACCAATTGAAAAACTTAGATATCAAGGGATACCTCCAGAGGAAAGAAAGTGCCAACTTTGTAACAATGGGGCTATTGGCAATGAAATCCATGCACTTTTAGACTGCAACCATACTGGAATAACAAATGCTCGTACTGAATTTCTGAATACAGTTAGCATTTATAATGAAAGTATCCTTAAACTATCAAAACAACAAATGTTTACAGAAATTTTAAGTTCGAGAGATGGGTTCATTGCCAATAGTGCTAGCAAATTTATTGACAGCATACTATTTTACTATAAGTAATTTTACTTAGACTTTAGTTATTTATGTATTTTCTTTTGTCTCGTGTGTGTACTTGTGTTTTATTATATTTAATGTCTTTTGACCACAGATAATGTAACAAAATATATTATTTAGTGTCAAATAAAATATACTATACTATACTATAAGGTCTGTTGCATGGTTTCGGTTTAACCATTTTTCATTTCATCACAGGTTTATACATTGATGCTGAATCCGCTTTTGACTACCTCCTAAAAAGAAGTGATATTGATCCGTCAAAAATTATCCTCTTTGGGAGATCTCTAGGAGGCGCTGTTGCAATCAATGTGGCATCCTCTCCCAAGTACAGAGACAAACTATGTGCTCTCATTGTTGAAAATACATTTACAAGTATACCAGATGTAGCAAAAGTTCTTTTCCGGATTCCAATTCTGAAGTGGATTCCTCTTTGGTGTCATAAAAATAAGGTAAGAAATTATTTTTTATTTCAATCGTTTCAATTAATTTGAGTTAAAAATAAAAACTGCATAAAGAAAGGCAAAAATTTACATTTTTGAAACAACTTCTATACAATTCATGTTAAAGCATTCTTAAGCATTAAAACATTCAGAGAATTGCAAGTAAATATAGGCTTAGTGATCATAATGTAGAAATTGAAAGAGGCAGACAACAACGACTAAAAATTCCTGCGGTAGAGCGATTTTGTAAAAAATGTCATACAAATTCAGTTGAAGACGAACAACATTTTATCCTAGATTGTGAATTTCTCGATAAAGAAAGAGGAGAGATGCTTCAAGAAATAGGAATTAAAAATAAACTAAATAAAACAGACAATTTCATTAAAATAATGACGTGCTTTATACCCCTGGCAAAGTTTCTAAATAAGGCAAAACAGAAATCAGGTATATGATAGCTATCACCTCTACATTGGGAGAATCCTGTAACTATCCTTAATTTGTTTTTCCTATTAAGCTTTTAACATCTTTTATTTTTAATTTTACCTCATAGTTTAGCTACTCTATTTTTTTCTGATTTGTATTTTATTTACCATACTGCGCCCTCTGATGGCATAGTAGTGTAATAAAGTTATTATTATTATTATTATTATTATTAATAAATATTATTAAATTAGAATTTTCTGCAAATTCATGACAATCTCACCACATGTAAAAAAACAATTTGAGAAATATTAAATTAGAATTCTGTGGTATAAATGTAGTGGGTTGCATAATAGGCTTGCATTGTGTAGAGTAGAGTAGAGTTCAAAAAGACATAAACTCAAAATCAGAGATCCATGAGGTCCTATTTATTGCCACACATCACTGTACATTGAGGTCAAAACGAGAACTACTCCCTCTGAAAATCTGGTAGCTTGGAGTATTTGTATAATGTTCTCAAAGTACAATGTTGAACTGTGATTGGTTCAACTCAAAGTGGAAGATTCCATTTTCATAGCAATGAGTTTTTAGTCTTAGTTACTGGTACAAGGTCAAAGGTTATGAAAATAGCTGACAAGATCAACACCTAACTTGCAACATTAAATCAATAAACAAATCAATGAATAACTCAGGAGGCTCTCAACGATATTAAATAAATAGCTTAAAAATCACCTTTTTATGGAGGTATGACTTATATTTTGTGCGAAAAGTAATGCCACTTTTTGGAGATTTGTGAAAATGTTAGAGATAAAAGTTGCATGTACCTTTCATTTATATGATCTAACCTCATTCCAGCATTGACTTATACCATGACCTTTTCACCACCAGTTTCCTCTTTTCATCATAAATTCACAAAATAGTCCTATTTATAGTCTGCACTTCCCTTCAGAAGATTGGGACAAAAACAACTAAAGTTTTTGAGTAAAAACTGAAAATTGACTCAAATTTTGTACCAGTATGTTGGCTCCAAAGTTAAGATCCAGAAATATTGAAGAATATTAGAAAAATGCAAAAAAAATGTTGGCGTGAAATACATCTTACTATGGCGATGGGTGTGTTAATCAAATACGTTGTCTAATTACTGTAAAATACTTTATTTCAGCTAGAATTAATTTTCACTGAAAAGACTTTTTGGATGTTTTGTATGAAATTTATTTTCACTCCTTCAGCAAAAATAGCGAAAATTATTTTCCAAACTAAAATAAAGTATTCTAGATACAGTACCCAAAAATTCTGATAGAACACGTATGATTGTGATGATCACCACCTTTTATATACTGGTAATATGTGCTCATGAACATGCTTCTTTGGCCGCTTCTCTTCTTATCTGTTGTTAAACTTTGTACACCTTCTATATTCCTGTCTACAGTATACCAACATTAGAAAAATCCACCGTGTGAAAGCACCGACGCTGTTTTTGTCAGGAATGCGAGACGAACTTATACCACCAAGAATGATGCAGTTACTTTTCCAGGTCGGTTATTTTATCTTTTTTATAAAGTTTACGATCATAAATTGAAACTCCGCAATTATTGTATCTCATCACGTTCGATATTTGTCTCATGAAATGTACATGTCTACAGCACGAATAAATTATGTTTGATAACAGGGAATTTAAACATGCAGTGTACAGTGACTAACACTTCATGATTTGATAGAATATTTTGTAATTATGTGGAACGTCAATCACTGTCTCACCGATCGTCTCAAATTAAAATGTCTTCCAAAAAAACAAAAAAACAAAAAAAAAAACTGTCACACTCATGATACATTGGTGTCCTTGTAAAATATGTTTGCTGATTTTTAACTTCAAACTTTTTTGAGTGATCCGAAAGAGAAATGTTACTAAATAATTGAGCGAGGACAAACTGTATTTCTGTATTTTACTTTCTCAAGAACATTTTTTTTTTGAAAATTTATAAATCATTTACCCCATGCTACATTATAATCAGCAGAAGTCTTCATTGGCTAGTAAAGACTTTGAGTAATGACCATTACCCATGAATCTCTGCCTCTTTCTCTCAATCATGACTAATTTACATGAAACAAAAGAGGGTCTATGATGAAACATAGATCCTTTAAATATATTTAAAACGTTAGCAGATAAATATTTTTAATACTACTATCATCATTACTGTGTTTTGCACTGAACGTTTTTATAATTTTCATAATGGGTCAAAGGTCAAACTGATATGAAATTCTATACGGGATCAATCAATCATGCCTAAAATGAAATTCAGTGTAAAATGGATTTTTTCAAAATAAAGCTAGCCATGCTCTGAAGTTAATATGTAGCATTGCCACCCCTGTGAATCAAATGGTATTGTCCTATTGTTGAATGCTAACCAACATTAGTAAACATGGCGGACTCGACTCATCGAAATGCCTGTGCAGCAATCATAAAAAGTGTGCATAGCTGATAAATCGCGACTCTGTTTCAAATTTTTAGCATAAATAAACATTATACAGTACAAGGATTGCTGTGCTGACCCATGCATCACTTATTTCCCCTTGTTTGTTCCTGCATGCGTTGGGACACTCCCACATGTGCCTGTGCATTTCCACATGGGTTACACAGTCACATAACATTCAAGTCTGCTTATTGTTAACTAAAAACAAAAGTTTGTAATGAATTACTCCTGTTGTATGAGAGAGGGCGTTGTGTCTATTGTGTTTGCAGGGACGCTGTTCCTGTTTCAATGTGTGAGGTACTAATTTGTAACTACCTAAAGGTATATAGTTGCAAAATGTGAACCTCACAAATGCTGGGGGGGGGGGGTTGATAATAGGGTTTCACACTTATCAATCCAATGAGCGTTAATTTCAAGGCATGTAAAACAAGGGACTGTTTATCATAGGAACTTGAAACAAATAAACGGTATCAAACTGCTTTTATCACTTGTCACTGGAAAAGCTTACATGTACTCACTTTCTAAAACAAGTATTCAGGCCTTTTATAGCCTTGGTAGGATCAGGGCTTGGTGCTGATTGGTTCATAGTGCTATGAGCTATGATTGGTTAATAAGAGAATAGCATTGAAATGGCATCTGCTATAGTTCTTTGTGCTAGTTCTCTTCGAGTTAAACATGTAATAAAGACAATTGAATTGAATAAACACAATAACAATTTAAGAAATTCAAGAAAGCACTGAAACACAATTGAATAATATTGAATCAATAATACAAACGAATACCACAGTAATAATTAGGGAAATTATAGTGGATTATTGTCCCTCTCATCGACAAATGCCATTGACTCATCAAGTTGCCAAAATTTCTCGAAGCAGTTTACAGTGGATATCGAGTTGACAATGACATATTACTTGGTAAACTGATAGTTGCTTGTCACAATATTGAAATATTCATTTTTGTGTTTTTTTTCAGACTTCAATTTCTGTGATGAAGAGACTAGCCAAATTTGAAAATGGAACACACAATGAAACATGGCAGAGTGAAGGGTATTTTGAGACAATATGTCAGTTTATTATCGAGGTAAGACATCTACAAGATCTGAAGTTGCCAAGAATTGAGGCATCAGGGTCTTTTCTAGAAAAAAACTGCAGGAGGGGGGCACTACAATTCAGCAGCGCAACCAAGTGGGGGGGGGGGGATATTTTTGATAATTCTAATTTAAAATGTAGCATTATATGGCTTCCTTGGGGCCAAAATTACTATCAGACAGGTCACAGTTGAAGGCTGGCCGCATGTGATCAGAATTTTATGGTTGCCAGAGGATCTGTTCCCCAGGGTAAGCGGGCACATGGCCATGGTATGAGGGTGCTGTGCCTGGGGCATGATTTGTTGAGTTGTGGGGTATTTCACATGACTTAAATATTTGGGATGAGATTGGACCCATTTTGGAGGTAAATTTCATAAAATTGTTTTAGTGTATTGAAATAGCATTGAGAAAATCTGTATTTCGGAAATATACCATTATAAACTTCTTGGACAATGAGGCAGTTGTCTTCTTGCCTTCACGAAGTGTAATCCCTAACGACATGTTCCATAAATAAAATATTACGCAAGACCTTGTATGAAACCACTACAGTACTTTGAGGTTACCTGAGGTGTAGAAATACTGATAAACTGATGCGTAATGGCATCACTTCTTGTTTGATATGGACCAATGTGATTGGTTCAACACATGAGGAATATTTTGTTTACATAATATTCAAAGAAATGCTGCACAGATTTAAAGGTGGGTTGTCATAATATAATTTGTCACACTTGGTCACATTTTGCGCGTGGCTTGGTGACAAAAACCACAACTTAAGATAAAATAACTTTTTTCTTAACTCTTTCACTACCAGTTCCATCTTTACATCACAAATTCGCAAAATAGTCCCGTCCCGTTCATAGTCTGGACTTTACTTCAGAAGCTTAGGGGAAAAATAATTTTTTGAGTCAAAACTGAAAATTGACTCAAATTTTATGGTGGCTTCAAAATTATGGTTCTTTTTCAGAAATATTGGAGAATGTAAAAAAAAAGTGCAGAATTTGGGCAAGAACGTCTGGTGGTGGAAAGGTGGTGGACATTTTTCAATATTTAACTTTTTTTTTATTTTCATGTATCTTAGGTCACCAAATCTCGACATGGACCTCGGTTGAATTCAGGACACACAGTAGATTCCTCAGTGATAATAGAAACCAATGCATTTCAAGATATCTAGATAGTTCTGGATTCGGCACCTGAGCGAAAATTACCCAGTCTTTGACGAAGTAGCTATTACCACCTTGCATGTGTGGATCATTATTTCCTTTTCAAATTATCTCAACTGTAATTCTTTCTGTATATGATTTTGGGGTTTTACAGTTGCTCGGTGTTGAGTGATTTCAGCTTCTGTGACTAGGGATATCTGGCTCTATGTCAGATTAAATTTACTGGCTACCGGTTGACTTGTGGACTGTCATATTCCAGGGTCTCACCTTTGATGTATATTTGTAAGTTTGTTTCTGAACAACTCTGAGGGGGAATCTGTGTAAATCTTTTAATCACAACAAAGAAACACACTGGTGGTGTGTAAATTAAACAAGGACAGAACAGTATGACCATTGCTGGTGTGTGGTGTCTGTGGGAACGCTTGTCATGCACAGTACCATAGGTGCTGTATGACTGCTTCTTGTTGTATATTCATCATGTACACATGCCGAGGGTGCTGTAGTGTTCATTGTGTCAGAAACAACCGTGGTTGAAACAGTGCACAGTAATTCTCATGACACTGCCATTGAAATCAAATTGATTGATACTTGTGTATATCCTGTGTTTACACACTTACATCATGCATGCAATGGACACATTACTTTGTCCTCGGTTATTGATTATCGCATCGCAACCAGAAAACTGGTAACATGAGGAAGAATCACTGAGCGGTATTTAGTATTCTTCGAGTTCCAATGTAGACAGTTGACGAAAGATTTGACATCATTTTTGCAGGGAAACAATGCAATGACTTGAAAAAAGTAGTATTGACTATATTGTACATTTATTAAACACTCGTGTATTTTAAAATAACAACTATTCTATTTTAGTATTCATGGAGTTTATAAAACTAAATTTCTCAACATTGTGTACCAGAGACATCAGGACAGGTAACTTTCAAATTTTACTAGTCCTGCCAGAAAGTTTAAAGTCCTGAATTAAGTATTATTTTTAAATATTTAAGTTTTCCATTCCAAGTAAGCACCATGAGAACTCAACACTCTGTCGATGATTGAACATATGATAAAATATTGCATTCTTTGCGTTTCATTATCTTTGTATCAGCCGTCAGAGGAGAATCGCGTCCAACTTTGTCCGATAATGTTAGTTAGTTAGTTAAATTACATTTCTCAAAATTTTAATTGAAGCTGACATTACCATAATAAGCAGACTGGGAGGCATGTATGTTGTAACTTTTACCAACCTGATACAGGTAAACCATAGAGGTGAGCAGTAATTTCAAACAATTTCAATTTATTATTGCGATTATGAGGTAATTTTTAATATTATTTGTTTGTTTGTAATTTGTTTGGCTGCATTTTTGTCTGAATACGGATTGGCTGACAGTGACAACACTTGTACTGTCGCTGCTTTATTTTAAATTACTTGTTGCGTCACATCGTCAGTTTGTACGAGTTCACCGCATCATGTTATGCTATCTCATTTATTGCAACGATCTCATTTTCAACAATTGCTGCATTGGTTGCTTTTGTGTTTCGACTTTGCTTACTCAATATATCACGATGAGGTAGTTTAATATGCACCTTGAATTATACAGTCTTTGTTTTGACCTAAGTGACCTTATTAAAAAATGAACAATTGATGTATTTCCATTTTTCTGTTCAGGAGATGATGCAAAGGAGAATACAGGGACTTGCAACTATATAACGAACAGCAAATTAATGCTTCTTGTTACCTTTCATTTAGTGGGTCATGTTCTATTACGTAAGCACTAAGTTACATTGAATGGTTAGTCCCTAATCAATGCTTGTCATAGTAGTTTATGTAATCTATTTTTAAAGCACTCTGTATCTGATATGTTTATAGACTATTTAGATACTACTGTTCATATGCCATTGAATAGGCTCATTCTTGTTTTATAATCAAATTGTGACGAATCAATACAATTATTATACATTTGTCACCGTAACGCCATAAGTTACAGCGTGTCGTAGTTTTGCGGCATTTCACAGGGTATTTTCATCCTACCATATAAGGAAGTGTGTATTCCAAATACGGAATGATCACAAGCGTAAGCTTCCTCCAATAATAAAAACAAACATGGCTGCCATCAGAGTTTGACCGGATTGCTGATTATGTTCTAAACTTTTTCGATTTCAGCATTCCTATGATGTATCCTTGAAAAGAAAAGACTCAGTACACTGTCGCATCGACCTCTACTGCGCGTCGGTCGATACTCCAGCTGTACTGTCTTTGTGCATACTTTGAGGTATCATCATAATAACCTCATATTATATTGTCAGCTTTTATATAACCCATTTTTGATTTAACCTATTTGATTATTTAATCAAACTTTGATTACATATTGCAAAATGCACTTTTCAAAAACAAATACAGCAGAATTGAATCAGATCCAAATTTATAAGCCATTAAAAAGTTTTAGCAAAATCAACGTCCAATGGTACAAATCATAGTGAGTTCTGGGTAATTTTTTGTGCTATGCAACGTCATGGTGAACCCACAGACTGTGGAGGTTAAATATTAGCAGCAAATCCAAATTTGATTAGAAAGTGGGTAACCAGGGCAACACTATTTAGGCATCCAGGCTTATCAAATTATCGTACCAGTAGAATCAACATTTTTTTAGACCTCTTTGATGTATCATAGATATCTTTTTCTTGATACTAGTAGTACAGCAGATTTATTAATTATTTGTTAGTATTTTTTGTCTATTTCAAGATTTTGGGCAAATGCATTGTTGTAGCATTTGGACTCTGATGCTGTTGAACATTGGACAGCTCGATAAACACATGAAAGTGTTCTAAATGAAATTGAGCTGATTACTGCTTGACCAAAATACCTATTTCATAACTATAATAATAAGATGTTTTTCGAGATCACTGTATCTATTGATAGTTTCCTGTTGCGTCAATTACACACCAGTGAATTAGAACAACTAGTTGCGCCACAGCAAATCATTTCAAGGTCAGAGGTCAAATTGAGTAGAATTGTGGTGAGAGCAATCAATGTTGATTCACTTCCTGTCTACAGGAATGTGCAACTCAAGATATTTTTTTTATGACACCTGCATCCATGTTTTCCATAGAAGTAAAATATGGGGAAATACTTGAAAAAACAAAAATATAATTTATAGCGATTTGGTATCCATACATAATTTTGTAAATTATCTCTGGGGAGAGCATAGATGTATTGTATATACGTATTGTACAAATCTTGAATTTGTAATTAAATAATTTTTCTGAGAAATCAAGAAATGTATTTAACCTTTAATAAGCAACGGGAAATAAATAAATTTATTTAGTTCAGTGTGTTGAGTGTTTATGAGGTGTAACTACTGGCCAATAGAGGGCGCTATTCACTGCAATTCGTGTGAGCTCTATCGGGTATGATAATCTCAGAATTGACACAAATATTGAATAAGTTGAATTTGTATTTATAATTTAATGTATGTGCTCAGTTTCAATGGCTCTCCGGTGAGGGACCGATTATTTGAAATCGTTAGTTACTACTGTGCGTGAAAAGTTATACTTTAGTACTGCAAAATACTTTATTTTCGCTTGGAATTAATTTTTGTTAAAGGAATGATTCAGTGAAAATAAAATCCAACGAATATACTTTTTTTCCCTATATTTCACATTCAACTAGTCAAAAATCAGTGAAAATAAATTCCATACAAAACACCCAAAAAAGTCTTTTCAGCGAAAATTAATTCCAGCTAAAATAATGTATTTTACAGTATTTATCTAAATTTGGAACGCACATGGGGTAGTAACAGCATATAGAATGACTCCCCTGGGTATTTAGTGTCCCGTCATCTTTTGTGATTTCACACGTTCGACACCAATAAGTTCCTCCTTGGTCCTTCTATAAAAATGTGCAACTAGCTGCAAATCTGTGCACCAATGGCGCACCATTTCGGCTTAGGGGTCACACAGGGTAGGATATATAAAGGAACGATGATGCACCGTGGCTTTATTACCCACAATACGTATCAGTGCGCAATCGACGATTTTCAGCTCTTTCGTTGCTTAGCAACATACGTGCGAAGTTAGGCATCCAGTCCACGAAAAATATAGAAAACTCAATTTACATTCCTACACATTATGAAATTGAACATTTTTTTTATTTATATTATCTATGTGGGCTATGTTGAAATTGTTACGTGAAACCATAGACGAGGGTAGGTCTAAGGTCAAACGTATTCTATTTTGAGAAATACTGAATACTATTTTGCTGTGTTGAACAATAACACTTCCATTGAAGGTCAACTCTGCTGTCACTCCGGATTATTCCAATTCCAGTTTTGTTCTCTTACGTAACTTACATTTCTACAACTTACGAATTAGTTGTAGCAAAGACACTCTTTTTCTAGTGTCTTTGGTTGTAGAAACTCTTTACGACAAGAATATCTATGTCTTGCCCATGAAGATCAACTTTACACTTGACCTAAAAAGTGTATAATCTCATCTCAATGTGATTGATAACAGTTTGCCCGTCATATTGGATAAAATCGTATTGAAATGTACAACCTTTTTTAAACAGTTTTCTTAGAGGCAAAGATAGTATAGTGTTCGGTATGCTAGTTTACGTGTAGAGGGTAGTCCGTGGGGGGTCATTACTCTAAACTTTACAAATATTACATTGTACACTTAAAAACCGCAAAACTTTTTTTGTTCTTGCAATTACTCGTATACTGTTTTGTTTAGATGACTGGCCTTTCAGACTATATGAAAGTGTGTCGCTGGCCGACATTGGTCGTATCTTCGACTACAAAGTTGGGCCGACTTTTTATTATAATCATTCAGAATAAAATGTACGAGATAACCACCAATCGCTTGTGCCACTCACATACAAGTCACCAGAAGTTCATATTGCAACACGCACTGATTTGTTCTATCGATTTGCTACAATTTAATCTCCAATACCACATATATACATTGTTATTCAAATAATCTAACAATTACATGGTTTGTATAATACATTGTACTACTACTAAACAAATAATAATATGAAAAAGAGCAGCGATTCGTGAGTATATATCCAATGCCGATGTTGGCTTGATCGTGGTTGCTATCCACTCTCGTAATTTAATTGTTGTGACAAACATAGCAGTAGTAACAACTGACATTGCTTTCGTTTGGGGGGTCATCTTAAAACAGATTTAGTTGAGGAGGGCATCAATAGGATGAACATAATTTCACGGCGGTCCAATAGATGATTTCTCGTGCACCAGAAGTTGATATTTAGACATTAGTGGGCCGGTTTTAAGTCTATGCTGAATGGAATACACGTCTTGAATACACTAAGGTCTGGCACTCTTCTTTTCTCGTCCTCTGTGAAGGGAGTGACCCTGTCTGTCACTTTCTCCATGAAGAATCCGTCATACAAATGTTGCCCGGGCTTCAGATTTAGCTGTAATAGAGCACATAATGTGATAATAATGGTATGTTGCAACATCTACTGTGGAATACTTTATTTTCGCTGATATTAATTTTCGCTGAAAAGACTTTTTGGGCGTTTTGCCTGGAATTTATTTTCACTTATTTTTTATGAGTTTAATGTGAAATATAGGGAAAAAAAGTATATTTGCTGGATTTTATTTTCACGGAATCATTCCTTCAGCGAAAATAAATTCCAAGCGAAAATAAAGTGTTCTACAGTATTTTGAAAATTATATGTTCTGCGCACATTGCATCTTCAACAAACTAGTTGCAGTGACTCACTGTGAAGAGAAATTATGTAAATGAAGGAGAAGCGCTGTGACTGACTGTCACTATAATTACCTGTTTGTTTATGAAATTCCTCAGCCTATTATTTCCTACATCAGGGTTTTGGTTCAGAGTCAAAGGAATGTCGAATCTCAGCATTAACGACTCGGGTAATTTCAGTTCGTCCTTCAGATCACCGTCCTTGTAGTAGGTAATAACGGGATGCAGAAATGCCTGACAATCAGTAGCGTTCAGTTCGGGGAAGTGAGCAAAATCCATGGCGTGTTTGCCGTCTTCTCCAAAGCTAGCGAGAGAGAAAAATAGATTATATAACAGATGATTATCTATATTTGGGATAGCACAGCGTAATTCAAATTAACAAATTCCCAAGGAAACTACATTAGTTGTGTTCACGTTACACGAAGTACGGGCTAAGATTTAAGCTGATTTAGGCTTATCTAGCATATTTGCATTTCGGCTAGACCCAATTGCGTCCACGCACAGGGAGGGCCAGTTGTTAGCACGGGCTAAGGGTGCCATTAGTCGGTGACCTTTGGTAAGCCGCTATTTACGAACGAAAAATGGATGATACGCGCGAGGTTCTATTTCTGCTGCTGGCATGTTTCGTTCTAATTTTGAAGCGACGTGCACAGGAACGCGAGAGAAGACGGATCCAACTTATTTGGAT